TTTCACGGCTTTAGAGTATTTTTTGATAAACATTTTCGAAACATCAGCTAATATTATAAAATTGACTTATAAATTTTAAGTGTTAGCAATGCCAATTTGGAGTAGTTGCGGTATATTTTATGTAAATTTTTATAATAAATGGTCTTTTAAGATAGATGGCCAAAAGTTAATACATATATTAAGTATTTGTTTACCTATTAAATAAATAGGGATGCATTTTGAAATATTTAATTAAATGCTAAAGGCATTAGTGCTATTTCGAAATTTCGATTTCCGACTTGAATAAATGATTTTTCATCAAATATTTTAAACAGCTATTAAAAGCAGAGACGAAGTACAAATAAGTACAAATATAAATAAAGTACAAATTTAAATAAAAAAAAATTTTATTGACTATTTATATTAAAAGCAGTATTTAACAAAAAGTACAAATTTAAAAAGTCCAAAAATGGCAAAAAATAAATATAAAAATTTAAATTGTCTCTTGAAGAATTATGAAATTTGTACTTTTGTCAATTGAACCTTTTACTAAAATTAATCAAAAGATTTTTTGTTGTCTGTTTTTAGATTTTAGAAATATTCTGCAAACTTAAGTTAAAGGTTTTTTAAAAATTACTTTTAATAATTTTATTGGCAATTTCAATCACAACTTTCTTTTTTAATAGATCACTAAATTCTGATTTATTATTATATTCAGTTTTAAAATTGACTCTTAGGGTTTAATTTAAATCGATGAGTATCTTCTATATTATTCTAAGTTATGTTTTTCAATTATTTTCAAAACAAAACGACATTTAGTTCAACATTTCTTAACAAATAATTTCTTTTTTTTCTTCCCAATTACCATTTATTTTTATTACAACATTTAATCTTCATTTTCATATTTTCAATTAAGTAATAATTAATTTAATAATATGAAAATTATAAATATGAATTTATATTGCTTAAACATTTCTCTAATTTAAATAATCTCAACTGATATAATTAATATAAATAACAAAATTTCAAAAACATTATTTTTAAAACTTTATTGTCCTTAAAAAACCTTTAAATTAAGTTTGCAGAATATTTTTAAATTTAAAAACAAACAACAAAAATTCTTTTGGATAATTTTATTAACAGGTTCAATTGACAAAAGTGCAAATTTCTTAATTTCTCAGTAGACAAATTAAATAATTACAAAAATAAATCATAAATAATTTTTATATTTATTTTTTTGCCATTTTTGTACTTTTAAAATTTGTACTTTTGTTAAATACCGCGGTTAATATAATTAGTCAATAAAAATTTTTTTAAATTGTACTTTGACAAAATTTGTACTTCGGCTCTGATTTTAATAGCTGTTTTGAAATACTAGTTTCGAAATCTTGGTTTATCCATGTTGAAAATCGAAATTTCGAAAAAGCTCTAATGCCTTTAGAATTTAATTTAATATTTAAAAATGCATCCTTACTTATTTACTGGTAAAACAAATAATTAAAATATGTATTCAATTTTCTGCCTCTATTTTAAAAGGCTATTTTATTTAGGATTTTTTACCTCTAGTTTTCCCCTCTATTTTTTGCTTCTATTTAATAGAGCTCGGACAGAACTATACTACGGCATATTCTACAGTATTTATCGATATTCTGTATCGTTAGTACGATACGAATTACTGTTATATAAGGATTTAGATACTCATAAAAGCTTGCAAAAGAATCTTCAAAAACACCAACTCACAAGGTTACTTGATAGAAATAAAACCCACATTCGACTATTGACACTTTATGCTAAAAATTTGCTCATAAACAAAAAACGGTCATATTTTACATGGTCATATTTTATGGTATCTATGTATATTTCTTATCTTTAGTACGATCCGAATACCGACCGATAAAATTTTTAAGTTTATTGTTAGTTAACTTATAAGCGTACTCTAGTTTAATATCTGTTGCGCTAAATAGGTTAAACTTTTTTTGTATATCATAAAATTTTTTAATTTTAAAATTTAAGATGAATAAATTTATTATTATTATTTTCTTATATTCGGTTGTTCTGTTTAATATCCAAATCAAAGGTAGAATGGTTGAGGTTGGATTAAAAATAAAAGAAGATTGGGAAGAAAAAAGAGAATTTATTTATTTAAAAAATATTCAAATAAAGGAACGTTTTGTATTGATAATGAATGTAAAACAAAATATTAGAATAGTTGATTATATTTATAAGAATAATGTTTCGTTTTGTAAAATTGAAATAGATCCTGATGAAAAAAGTTTTTGTTGTTAAACTAAATGGGAAAGCTAAATATAGCTCTCAATTAAAAATGAGAATTTTGATTGAAATTGCCAATAATGAAATTGCTAAGAAATTTTTGAAAAACTTGGGAAAACAGGTATCTAATATTTGATTATTCGACACAAATTTAATTTATGTAAGATTCGCCTAAATAATAATTTTATCATGAATAATAACTATTCTGAAACTTCTATATTAAAAGAAAGTTTAATAAATATAAATAAAAAAGGATTATTAAAAGAAAATATAGAAAATTACAAGGACAAACTTTCATCAAGTTATTGGTCTGAAATTAATTTAATTGGATATAAAATCGAATTGTTAGAAAAACAAAAAGTTGAATATCCGAAAGAATTAAAAAGCAGAATTATATATATTGGAAACAAAATAAGTAATTAAATTTTAACTTTGTCAAACTTTTCATGAGATTAAAAATTTTCCTTAATAATTATAGGCGGAATAATTGAAGTAAATAAACGAAAGTGTTTCAATTGTATTGCTACACAAACAAAACAATGGCATAGTTTACTAAAAGAACATTACTTGTGCGAAAAATGTGGTGCATATAAACGCAAATATGGAAAGTTTAGACCAAATGAATTATGGTTTAAGACTACAAAGGTAACTCTCTTTTTAAATGAACTCTTTAAATGAATTTTTAAATCAATTCTGAACATACTGAAAGTTTGTTTAAACGTTCAAGACCGATAGAGATATAATCGAAATATTTTTTGTTTCACTAACGTTAGATAACTTCTCATTAAGTAAACGATAGTAAATATATTATTTTCGGAGTCGATATTAACCGCCGATATCACTCTTCTTAATCAACTAATGCCTTTTTTGAAGGCAAAAAAAAACAAGATTACATTATTTTTTCGAAATAAAAATTTCGAAAATAATGTAATTCGATGTAATTCAATGTTTGTTCGTAATCGTACTGTACATTCGCATAATGGGATTTTTGCCTTCGATGACCCTCCAGATACATTCATATCCCTTAATCACCCAAATTCCTCCAAATCCGCCAGATAATGTATTCAATACTTTTATCTTATTAAATTACTAAAACATAGTAGAGATAAAGGACTTTGTCACTTGAACTCAATTGTGTGGACTCAGTAAAAACATCAATTTCGATAAAAAAATCATTCTATTCAACGCCGCAGGCGTAAATTTTTGCCAATGGTCAAAAATCATCCTTTTATTAAAAAATATACAAGAAAATTGGGAAAATCTCAGAAACGGAACATATCACAAATTCGTTGTAAAATATTTGCCTGATCCATATTTGATACTACATAAAGCCAAACCGGATCCGACCTAATTCCGTTAATCGCAAAAAACTCGGTTTATGACCCGGACTCCGGAAAAATCCATATTGATATAGATAATAACCATATTGATACTCCTATTTTTAGTATATTGAAACTCCTATTTGTACCTTCTTCTAATTGCTTCTGCTTCTTAAAAAGATCAAAAATGGTCAAATGCATATAAAGCTAATATTAAATCGCCTTATAATCTTTGATAGATTGGCCAACCGTACTATTTTCAATTATATCCCAAAGAGCCATTCTATTAAATAGGACCATCGTATAATTTCATTCTAGCTTTATTTGCAATTTATTTGCATCCTTAATATTTTCGAAAAAGGAGAAACAATGAAACGAAAAAAAAGCTGTAGAAAAGAAAGCTGTACCCAGGAAATTAATCCTTATTAAATCAACCAATAAAATTAGCATGAATGAAACTTACATAAAAACAAACTTTAATAAATTAATTTAAGGGTGATCGTAAATGTTTTATTTGCGGAGTTACACAAACAATACAATGGCGCCGTCATTTATCAGGAAGCTATTTATGTAATGCATGTGGCTGTAAACAAAGGAAAGAAGTTACAAAGAAGAGAATACCAAAAATTTAACAGAAACGGTTTAAATATATAAAGAGTTACTCCAAAGTCTGATTTATTATTTATAAAAGATTAATTGTAACAATTATTTAATGACAATTATACGAAATTTTGTGAATTTAAACTAAAATTAATATTGTTAAAAAGCTTACATACATATAATTTTTGATAATTCTGTATTGTCTTAGTTTAGCACTTACATAAGAAATTTAGTCGCGTTTCAACATATTACCTATTTTCCTTGATAGTTTTAATTTAAAAAATAATGGCTCTTAATTCATGGTGTTCTATTACCCGAGTAGGAAGAACCTGGTAAATAATGATTTAATCTTAAAAATACTACCCTCTACCCGCTTCTTAGAATACGACCCCAGAGGATTAACTGCCTATCCCTTTATTGAATTTTTCTTATAAATTATTATTACTTGTTCGAATGATCATAAAATCAAAATTTAAAATTAACGATAAGGGTTTGAAAATATTTTTTAAAGAGCCTTACCCATGTTTTACGTAGATTTTCGAGGTCTGAGTATCTCGGCTTATCCGGTCTAGTTTTTTAGTAATTTAAAATATTAATATACCTGCTTTTTAGAATTTTTGCCGATGTTTTCTAATGTTAGAAATAACATTTTAGGAAAGTGTTATCTTGTGAAAAACAGTATATTATAAGACAAAGAAAATTGAAAAATATCGAGCTAAACTTAAAAATACTAAAAATAACTCTAAAGATTTGTGTTTAAACTTTAATTCTGTGAATTTAAAAAAAGTTCAAAATCTAAATATTTTATTCAAAAATCTATTCCAAATTTTTCTATTCAATTATTTTGAAATGTGCATCAAATAACTTGTTAAAACCTAAAATTTTATCAGATGCTCGAACGCCTAAATGTGTTTAATTTAAGAATAAAAGGAATTAAAATTTATTTATTAAAATATACGTTTATCTGATGTTGAACTGCCGGGTTTTATAGGTTCACATTTCTTTTGTACCAAACATTCAGCAGACGAACTATAATTTTCACATTTAGGTATATGTTATAAAGTTGTTAATTTATTCGTTAATTTATTCAAAAATTACGTAGGATAAAAAGGAATAAGGGTAGTATGGCATTTAAAGGGATTAAGACTGATTTCTAACAATATCAATGAATTAGAGCAGGGTTCCGTTTACAAAATGCCAATCAAAATTACAAAAATCTAGATTAAAATTACATAGGGACCAAATTTACAAATAAAAAGTCACTAAATTTTGGGAAATTTGAAGCACTTAAGCCAGATTTCTTCCATTTTTTGCGCCGCAGGCGAAAAATACAAAAAAAAATTTTTAAGGTTAAATTCAATTTTTTAGCGAAATGTTGATTTAAAGTACAATACTTTCAAATAAAGTACGAATGAGAACCTGAATTAGAGGGATATTGATTCATGTAAGGATTTATAGGCAAGTAAAAAATGTGAATTTGGCGCAGTGAGATTTGTCTAACTTTAAAACTCGGATGAGTTTGGAATTTTGCATTTAATTAGAGAGAATATGGCATTTATAATTTAAAAAATAAATATTGAAATTCCTACTTAAAGCATTCACAGATAGCAAGTTCACATTCATTTTTCGTCAAGGAACATTTTGAATACATTTTATCACACGTATTCTCAATAAAATTTTCAGGATAAGTCTCTTTTTCACACTTGCCGTCAGGTATTAACGAAGTTATACATTTAGTAACATCAGTCCAACATCTTTGATTTGTTATTAGGATATTTTAGTGAGGTTCATTTTAAAAAACTTAGAAAATATGAAAAATATAAAAACTGAGGGTCTGAGATTTTAATAATAAAAGGGCAAGGAAACTAAAATTATTTTAGCAATTAATTTTATAAATATATTGGAAAATGCTTAACATAAAATAAACATTTCTGAATTAATTAAATTAACATACACGCAGTCCTCATCTACTTTATATGCCATCACAGTGTTGCATTGTTCAATTGTAACCTTTTCTCCGTTTGTGAAATAATAAAAATTAATTAACAAAAACAGAAATAAAAGAAAAAAATTCATTTTATTTTGATTATTTAATTTTATTTTGAATAGAAAAATTCTTTGTTTAATGAACTCTTAAACCTAATTATTGTTTCTTTTTATAATAAATATTTCAATAATTAATCAAAATTAAAATTATATTGTTATCAACCTTTTATGTCGCCATTTTAATTAAAAATTTAAAATAAAATCAGGTTTTAAAATTAAAAAAAAGAAATATTTCAATAATTTTTGTTTATTGAAATGTTCTATTAAATAAACTTGTTTTTAAATAGTAGATATTGAAATAATTAATCATAGAAAATAATGTTTGATTTTTTTTCTTTCTATATGTAAAATTAACTTCTATAAAATAAAGCCTAACCGCCGAAATTAAATTTGAATATCATAAAAACGAAATTAAAAATATCCGGATATCCGAAATTTTCGGTTCGGTTCCTAGAATCAGGGAAAAAGGAGGAAATCTTGCCCAATGTCCTTCAAAACTTTCGGAATTTTTGCCTGCGGCGCTGGAAAAAGAAAAATCTTGGCTTAGGGATCTTCCAAAATTATCAAAGTTTGCGCCTGCGGCTCTGCAAAAGAAAATATCCAGTAGCCTAGTCTTCCAAAATTTTCGCCTGCAGCTATTTATAAACATCACCCACCGCCAAAAAATATCAAAATTCCCTAAAATCGAGAATTCCCGACGATTTGTGGTTCGGGAATCACAATTCCCTAAAATTGGGAATTGAATTTTTATGTCGGCTAGATCTCTAATACCCGTGATATCACGTTCACTAATATCTATTTTAATCCATCAATGGTTTTATAAATGAGTTTCTTCGTTTTTCAAAGACGGAGGCAAAAATTTTGTAAAATTGAATGGCGACTGTGCCAGATTTCTTTCATTTTCACCGCCGGAGGCTACAATTTTGAAAAATTTTACATCTATTACTCTTTTGGATCCGCTGAATTCTAACAAATCATCAGATAAACTACAAAAGTTTGATTCCACCTGAATCAAACTTTTGTAGTCTACACATTGATTCCACCTAGATTTCTGTTAATTCTAAATTGCCTCGATAACTCTGTTAACCACAAGACTTTCATAATTGCTCCTAATCTCTCTATATCCTCCATGAGACTCAACATTTCAGCGCCGCAGGCAAAAATATTGAAAATAAAAGTTTCGGTTCCGGTTCCGGATATCTGAAATCTCCGGTTCGGATACCGGTTCCGGATATCCGAAAATTTCGGTTCGGATATCGGTTCCGGTTCCGGATATCCGGAGATTTCCCAGGAATCGCCATCCTTATATAGGTATATTTAATATAAACCAGACCAAATTTTAAAACTAGTTTGAGTTTAACCGTAGCTGTTGTATAATTGTTTTGTAAATTAGCGGAACTTGATATAATGATGATTGACTAATCATTAATTTAAAAAATATTTAAAAAAATATTTATTAATCTTTCAAATATTTTCTGTTATATTTCTCATTAATTAATCATCATACATATAGCCATAAAATCATTTTTATGAAAAAATTTTTTTAATTAATTTAAAATGCATATTATTTGATTTAGCTGTATTTTAGCGTATATTTATTTTAGATTACATTTCGGCGTCGCAAATAAAAGTTTTATTTTATATTCGACCTCCCATTAAACCGGTAGACCCCATCTAAATCACAGTAATTTGTGCCATTCGACCTCGCTAAGAGCTTTTTCAAATAATCTGCATGAATATTCAAATTTTTCGCAACAATAATAAGCGGAATCCGTCTATATTTTTTTCGATTTTCGGGACTTATATCTAGTATTTCCGTACCTAGAGAAAAGTATCATTTGACTAGTTTGTCGAGTCGAGTTGAGTAGTTTGTCGAGTCGAGAGAGACCGCTCCGGCAGGTTTACGTTTTATCCCGTCCGGACTCAAGATTTTTTCTTAATTTTCAAAAAATTTTTATTAAAATTGTTTATAATTATAATAGGCAAAAAATTATTTAAATTAATCATTTATATGCGTAATTCATAAGGCCAAACATGAGAATTCCCCTAAATAACGTCACAGACTTAAATTTTTAAATTTCCAAAGTCCAAGAGACTATTGTCTAGCCGTAAATTTCTGGAAATCTCATATACGCAAGATTCGTGTCTGGTGATTTCGGCAGAAGTGACGTAGGCAGTGGTCAAATGGGCAGTGAGTGATTTAGGCAGTGAGGTAAATTGGGCAGTGAGTGATTTGGGCAGTAAACGTTTTTTAAAAAAATATTTTTCACATAAAAACAATTTGAGTATCAACAGAAAAATAATTATGCGTGATTTGGGCAGTAAATTTTATTCCTCGGGAATATGTTTATAACTAGGGCTCGGATTTGTACTGAAATATATTTTTTCCTGAATATATTATGCTTCCGAGTTTGTGCTGATCATTTACACTTTAATATATACTTTTAAATTTGTGAGCATTAATATGTAGTTTTTAAAAACAATAATTTACTGCCTAAATCACTCAAAATCCTATGATACTCAAATTGTTTTTAAGTGGAAAATATCTTTTTAAAAACGTTTACTGCCCAAATTACTCACTGCCCAATTCACCTCACTGCCTAAATCACTCACTGCCCATTTAACAACTGCCTACGTCACTTCTGCCGAAATCACACAGCACCGCAAGATTCGTTCCTAAAGCTTAGAGTCTGAAAAGTTCTGTTCCGCAAATTTGATCCGCAAAATTCGGCGTGACATGTGATTTTGATATCCAAGCTATTTTCATTCCCAATTAAAATTTTTTCCTAGATTATAATTATTCAGATATAATTTTCTAATTTATTTTTCTTCACGTATTAGATATGGACTTTTCGAGTATGCTGTTTAAAATAATTATTCTGTTGAATTTTATGGTAATTGTTTTAATATTATTATTTGTATGAGCACCAAAAAAATTTTAAGCGTTTTATTTTTAATAAAAATTTTTTTATAATATTTAGTCAATTTGGTACAACAATGTTTTATGCGTTTTCTTTTATTTTTCCAAAAAAATACGGATGAGGCAAAATAACATACTGTTAAAGAACTCCGCTTGAAGCACTTTCAAATAATCTATCATTTACTTATTCAAACTTTCCAACTCAAAATTAGCTTACTCTCTCCTTCTCTTTTTCAATGTTCAGGAGTCTGTAACAGTGATGGATTCGCTTCCGCGTGTGCATAACTTTGAATAAATTTTTGATAAATTTTTTCAACAATAATCGAATTAATTCTTCCACAGAATTCGTTCCGACTTCCGTAGAACGCGTTCCGCCTTCCGCAGAATTTCGCTTTTTTTGACTCTTCCACTTTTGCCTTCCGCTGTTTAAAGTTGATTCCTGGTCTGTAACTCTGTTATTTACGTGACTTGCTAATGTATACGAGCGTTGACACAAAGCTTTATCGCACTGATAAATACCAAGTAGATAAAATATGTATAGGATGAAGCATCTAAGAGACTAACTAATTATTGGCTGGCTTTTGTACTAACTCGTTTAAGGGCTCGCGCCCATACACAACAAACAGTGTACTCGGTTAAATTTAAACAATTTAGATTCCTGTTGGAATTTGCCCTGTTTTTTCAGGCGAGGTAAAGAAGCAGGGTGGCCCTTTTGCCCTATTTACAGGGCATTTGCCCTATTTTCGACCTTTCCGCCCTATTTTTTCCCTATTTTTACATTTGCCATATTTTTGCCCTGTTTTTACCATTTAGCAAAATTTTTACAATTTTAGAATTTCATAATGAAATGGCAGAAAAAATAAGAAATCTGGCTTTACGGCCTTCCAAAATTTCTAAAATTTTCGCCTGCGGCGCAAAAAAGGAAGAAATCTGGCTTCTTGGCCTTACAAAATTCTCAAAATTTTTGCCTGCGGCGCTGAAAAAGGAAAAATCTGTGAAGACTTTGTGTGAAATTGAGGGATTGGAAGGGCTTGATTGGAATATAGGCGGAAAATACTCGAAGTTTCTACCCCCGAATCCACTGAATCCTCACAAATCCCTAGATAACTACAAGTTTCTAACCATTTATCCATCTTAGATAACTTTCTTGATCCTAAATTCCCTAGATAACTCTGTTAACCCCAATTCCATTAATAATTGCTCAAAACCCGCCTATATCCCTCCATTTGCTCAATTTAGTTAAACCTAGTTAAAAAATTTAGAATAAAGCTTTTTAATTGAAATTTCAATTATTTTTAAGATTTTTAAATAATGCCCTATTTTTTGCCCTATTTTTGGCCGATTTCGCCCTATTTTTGCCCTATTTTTGAGTGGCTGCGCCCTATTTTGGTGTTTTGGAAAGGGCCACCCTGTAAAGAAGTTAATAACGAATATTTAAACCTACTAAAAATATATATTTTAGCATCCTCCTTGGTATCCTCCTTATGATGGCGATGTAAGGAGTTTAAAATGGTATCACGACTTTTGCGCCGAGAACATTTGCGCCGCGACATTTGCGCCGCCATAAATTTAAAAAAATAATATCTACAGTCGGACCTAATTTTATTGTACTTCTTAAAAAATGGTATCCAGTAGCTGAAGGACATTCAGGAAGTACAATATTTCGGGAAGTACAATAGCCCTCTCAATTAAGCGAACCCCTAGAGGAAGGTTGAAAAATGAACCGACACCCTAGAGTGGTAATCTTCAAAGAACTTGACTTTTTCGGATCAGGATATTTGGTCTGATACCCCTATTCAGGCATGATTTTCTGCCAAAAGTGGGTGCACTATAGTGTAGAATTGTCGGGTCCAGATATCCGGATCTGAAAAAAGCCGGATAGCCGAATATTTTAGGTAGAATATCGGATCCGGATCTTGATATCCGAAGATCTCCAACTATCCTACATCTTCTAAGTGAGGTACGGCTGTAGTTTTTCATTATATTAATGATAGTGGCGGCGCAAAAGTCGTCCGGCGCAAAAGTCGCGGCGCAAACGTCGCCCGGCGCAAAAGTCGCGGCGCAAAAGTCCCCCGGCGCAAAAGTCGCTCGGCGCATAAGTCGCGGCGCAAAAGTCGCGGCGCATAAGTCGCGGCGCAAATGTTCTCGGCGCAAAAGTCACGGAACCTTTAAAATTACATACTACTACATAAAAGAAGTTAAAAATTTTAGCCATTAATACTACAATACTCTTGCTTTGGTCATTATTGCATTAGAAGAGGCAAATTTTGTTCTGCCGAGTATACGGAAATGAATTGGGACACAAAGCCATCTGAGTTTTTGTGTCTTGTATCTGGGACTAAGAAAGAGTGTCCTTTCTATTATAATTGTAAGTAAATCTTAAGCAGAAAAAAATGTTGTGGAATTTTGAACGTTATGTTTACGCTTTTTCTTTACTTCTTAGTTTCCCATTTATATGCCGTTGATACATATTTTCTTTAAAATACCCCAGGGACTTATTTTTTTCGATCAACCTCTAGAGGGGGTTATTTTAGAGGGGGGGGGGGGTAGGGCTATTTTTTCTATGTCGAAATTTTTTTAAAACTAAAATCTCTGATCTAGTTTAGTTTCCAATGAAAGTTTAGTAGTCCAGTTAAATTTTATGATTCCAATGAAGGTTAATGAGTCTCATGAAAGTCAAACATTTTTTAGCCAATCGGTGTACTCAATAGCTTTTTTCCTCCATTTCATGAATTGGTTAGCAAATAAAAGATAGCAACATAAGGAACAAAATTCACAAATGTTTTGTAACTCGGCTGGAAGAGCTGAGTTGATGTAGGCGAATGAGTGATGGGAAATCGAATGAGCTAATTGTATATTTGAATTACAATGGTTTTTCAATTTTCGAGACGTAGATTACGGTCCCTGGTCGTCGAATCGGTACTATACCATTCATGGTAAATGTCCGGTTGGTGTCCTACATGTCCGCAAAGAGAATGCGCATTTTTCCTTCCTTTTCTTGCATTTTTTTCTGCAAGGAGTGGCGCCCATTTTTCCTTTGTGTATGGTAGCCTTTTGGCATGTCGAAGGAAAGAGGGAAAATAATAAAAATTAATTACTAATAGAGTACAAATATTTTAGATCAGAGATGAAAAATTTGGGACAACATTCTCAAATAGATTTCTAAAATATCTAGGGGAATCTTAATCCATTCGAAATCTTAATCTGTTCCAGAATGCTTCAATCTGCTGTGTATTTGTACCGTTGACTGGATTCATAAAGAATTGTTGATGATTTACTGTTTGGTGTTGATATCCTAACTGATCTAAACCTAAAGTGAATTAATTCTGTTTGTAAATCAATCTAACATTATTAGTTAAAATAACTTTATTAGTATTAAATTAAGTACTCTATTAGTAATTAATTTTTATTATTTTCCCTCTTTCCTTCGGCATGCCAAAAAGCTACCATACACAAAGGAAAAATGGGCGCCATCCTTGCAGAAAAAAATGCAAGAAAAGGAAGGAAAAATGCGCATTCTCTTTGCGGACATGTAGGACACCAACCGGACATTTACCACTATTCATTTCCATTCAACTCGGCTGGAAAGCTGATTTGAATGATATCACATACCTCCATATAGGTCCACGCATTTAAAACCCCGTTATAAGTGAAGATTGCCACTCTGTTTTTAATGAAAGCTTCTGTCTGAATGTCTTCTGCGTCGACACCGTTCATACGATGGAAAGTTTTCTAGAAATTGGGAGGGTTGTTCCAATAATTGTGTTCAATAACCATATTTTCTGGTAGAATTGTCATACAATAATTTAGTAAAATATGGATGTGGAGAATGTTCTGATGATAAAAATTGCATCAAATGTAATTATGATGACTGCATATCCGCTTTTAGAGATCATTATTCATGTTTGGCCGACCATGATATCCCTGGAGCCTGGGCAGCTTGTAAGAGTAATGATAAATGTTTTATTACAAAATGGGGAGGAACGGAAGGTATGTTGCCACCTGAAAAGAAGAGAGGGTTTTTGATAACTGTTTTTCTGATTCTTCAATATAAACCGTTTTTATTAAATCACATTAAAATAAATACATATTTTTTGAAAAATCGTGAAATTTGTTAACCCCTCTTCTCTTCAAAGATACCCCACAGTTTTAGATATATCTTTTTTAATTTGATTGAGCTTTTGGTAGCTAGGAGATACTTCACTTTAAGATATTCTAATTTTGATGTTTTTTCTATAAATATTTTGATAGAAAACATAACAGTATGTACTCAAACTCGGTATTGAGTATGCTAAAAATTTTTTAGATAAAATGAATTTTGATTTAAGCTAGAGTTGGTCGAAGTCGAGATTTTTAAAAAAACCGATACGAGGATCAACGAGGCTGAAATGCACCAATCGAGGTCAAGGGGGAGATTTAGGCCGAGGTCGAGGAACGAGGATCCATTTCTTCCAAAAAGGTCAATCTTTAGGGATGTATAAGTAGTCTCGGTCCTCGGTGAGGTTTATTGTCGAGGACCTCGTTTCGAGATCGAAGTCAGCAAAATCGAAGTCGAGGTTTGAAAATGAGTGAGAACACGGTTTCGGCGAGGCCTCGACCTCGATCAACTCTAATTTAAGCTACCATCACTTTTAAACACTATTTGTTCACGCCCAAAGAGGATTTATTTTTGTGGATATAAAGAAAAAATACATAATAAAAGGTAAAAGTTCAAGCGTAAAATTAAAGGTAGATTCCGGGGTGGCTGTGGCAAATGTGATCCAAATGAGCATTGTTATGATTGCGAAGGAAAAAACTGTAATACAGTTGATAAATTCAAAGAAGCATTTTATTGTTATATAAGAGATAGTAATGACGGGAATATAAAGCTTGGAAATGTATGCGCAAACAAAATTTGTTACATTTACATTGATGCTAAAGGTAAAATTAATTATATAAAAAATAAGTAATATTTATTGAAGAAGCAGTTCATCTAGGAGGACTGTTTTTGATACTTGTTTGTTAAGAAAATCGAAAATATTTTTTTAAATCTTCCAAATCTAAAGTCCAAATCAAAAAGAATTAAAAAAACTTGAAATTAAAACAGTTAATTAAATTTGAAAAGCTCGGTTACTTAGGCGCTTAGATTTTGAAAATTAAAAACCCGGGACTCGGAAATTGAACTAAAAGAAAATTGCGGATTCTATATTAAAGGAGTGAAGCGTCGCACACGCCTCGCGGGGAGTCAACGGTCGCTGGGCTCTGGGCTCGTAACATGATCCTATTCCTATCATTGATGAGATGGGCATCCCAGGATTACTCCGCAGCAGCAAACATTCCACGGTGTATAGTAGGTAAGGTAAAGAAGAGAGCAAAATGGGTCTAATCTGCAAAAGTCGGATCTGCAAATGTCTGATCTGCAAGTGGCATATCTGCAAGTGTCGTGACACGATTTTAACAAAAATAGAATCTTTTAAACCAAGGTAGTCAAAATCTGGGCTGCGGAAAATGCCCTATAGTGGATTTAGAATGTGTTGAATGCAAAACAAAAAATTGCAATACAAAAGAAGCATTCGACAAAGCTTTGTTTTGCCTGAATAAACGAAAAGTAGTTAATAATGTTGGTATATATTGTGATCAGGAATGTTTTGTTTACAGGCATGGAGATGGGAAACGTATGAAAATTTTCTAATAATTAATAATTAAAAAATAATTTTAGTAGAACAAGGTTGTGGTAAATGTCCGTCCAACACAGATAAAGTTTGCAAAACTTGTAAAACTAAATATTGTAATGAAGAAAAGTTAGTCCCAGAATCATGTCGGGAAAATAACGGCAAAACATGTACAAAAGAACATGGGGCAAAATGTTTTACTGAGAGAATGCAAAATAATAAAAGTTTGAAATAATAATTACCGTATTTCCGAAAATAGAACCCCATGGGGCTCTATTTTTCAACTACCCTCCAAAGTGGGGCTCTATTTCAGGGTGGGGTTCTAATTCAGGGTGGGGTTCTAATTCAGGGTGGGGTTTTATTTTCGGAAATACGGTATTTTGATTGAACATTAAGATGATTGAGGGTGGATATTTACCCTTACTTTTAATAAACACTCTTAATACAGCAGAAAGTATCTTTAATAATGAGATAGGCATGAGACGGCAAAATTCAACTTGATTAGATTTTTATGCCAAAATGAGTGTGGGCAACAGGGTGGCCCTTTTACCCTATTTACATATAGAAGATTTTCCCTATTTTTGACCTTCTTAATTCGCCCTATTTTTTCCCTATTTTCTCATTTGCCATAATTTTGCCCTATTTTTACCATCTTGTAAAATTTTAAAAATTCCTTCGATTTTGTAAAAAATGGTAAAAATGAAGGATTTCTCATCTTACTCCCTGGCCTTCAAAATCCTCAAAATTTTTGCCTGCGGCGCAAAAAATTGAAGAAATCTGGCTGCACGAGCTTCAAAATCCTCAAAATTTTCGCCTGCGGCGCTAAAAATGGGAGAAATTTGGCTACTTGGACTTCCAAAAGTCTCGCCTTATTTGAAATTTTTAATTATGTTTAAGCTTTTAGAGCTATGCCATAATTTTTGCCCTATTTTTGGCCGATTTCGCCCTATTTTTGAGTGGCTGGCCCTATTTTAGTGTTTTGGAAGGGGCCACCCTGGTGGGCAAGGACTTTCTACATTTGGACCTCTTTTTTACCTAATAAAATATATCTTAAGTAAACAAGGGTTGTGGTAAATGTGATTCTACGACGTGCAAAGACTGTACAGGAAACTTGTGCAATTCTGGAGATAAATTTACATATTATTGTTTGGACAATGATGGAAGAAGTTTAAACGAATGTGAAAAACCAGAATGTTTTATTTCTAAAGGTATATCACTCAAATAATTAATTCAATAAATGAGATATATTGAACTAATACTGCCGTCCCGAGTTCATAAATTTTCTAAAAAGCCGAGAATTTGTTTATTACGTATAAGTAATAAACAAAATTCAGATTCAGAAGGTGGATGCGGAACTTGTGATGAAAAGAAAATTGAAAAGTCATGCGTTGATTGTAAAGATTTAAAATGTAACTCGAAAGAATTGTTAGCTAAAACAATTTTTTGTTATGAAAAAGTGAAAAATGGAAATGTAAAAGAAGGGAAAAGGCCATGTTTGGCGAAGAAATGTTTTATATCCTATGACACTAAAATTGGTAATTTTAAATAAGGAAAGGATTAGTAGGGGAATCACACATTTTAATTGAAATTTGTCTTCTTCAAAGTAATAAACTTTTAGTTGAGCAAGGCTGTGGAGATTCACCTAAAGAAGTTAAGGATATTCAGTATGCTGTTTGTGATAAAACATTGTGCAACACAAAAGAATTGTTTGACAAAACTTTGTTTTGTTTCATTAAGGATAGCCAGAAAGAGAAATATAAGAAGGCATTAAAACAATGTGATAAAGAATGTTTTGTTTTTAGAGATGCGAATGGACATTGTATATCATATATAGATAAAAGCTTAAAAATAATATCATTTAAGTGTGGAAAGGCTGTGACAGTTGCAAGGGGAAAGATATTAAGGATTGTTATGTTTGCAAAACTGATTATTGCAATGAAGAAAAACATGTTTATAAACAGTGTCTGGATGGAATATACGATTATTCTTATCACGGAACCAACCCTAAGACTTGTAAAAATAAATACAAAGATTATTGTTATTCGGAGATTATAGAAAACAATAAAGGTATTTTAAAGATAAGACGCAAAATTTTCATTTGTTTTATAGTAAAAAAGGGTTGTGGTAAGTGCTCTAATACTACTTGCGTTACGTGCAGCAATGGACATCGTTGTAATGATAAACTTGATTTTCGCACATTTTGTATGACAAAGAATGGGAATAAGAAATGCAAGGAAGATTGGTGTTACATTGCTCCTTTAGATGAGAGAGAAAAAGGTAAAATTCAAAATAAATTGGAAGCTTCGTCCAAGAGGTCCATGCCTAGGTAGACTATTATTAGACTACTACTACTTATTTGCCTAAGTAGACCTATCTGCTAAACATATCTTTATCTGAAAAATATGTAACATAATTTTTATTTATCGAATCAGCATCGAGAATGTTGAACCACGACTTAGATGAATATATTTTTAGTATTCGATTCCGGTTGTGGCAAATGTGATGTCTTACACCCTGAAAAGAAGTGTGTAGACTGTAATATTGGTCCACTATGTAATACTGAGGAATTTATCAACAAATCAAAGTTTTGTTTGTGGAAAACTGAAAATATGGCTAAACCTGTTGGAATGAAGAGAATTTGTAGAGATTCATGTTTTGTATTGAGAGACAAAAATGGAAAAGGTTTGAGAATAAAAATAGGGAAGAACATATGAGGATTTTCCATTAATCCGCCCAAATATCTTGGTATTTAACTTAATCCAACGATATCCCTGTTAATCCTATAAATATCTCTCAAGTAGCTCGGGCACTTTTATTCACTCTATATCATTCCTTTGGGACTGAATCGGGAAGGCTGTACCGGGGACAAGGAGGACTGTTCAGGAGGTTGAAACGTGAGAACTAAATCAATGGCTTTAAGACAGTGATTATTGTTGATAAGTTGGCATAATATTAGTATTCTTTTATAAGTATCACTGCCCCAGTGGGCATAGTTGTCTAAAATTCGTAGAGTAACATATTATGTGGCCGCAAATGTCTGTCTGCAATTTTTCCTCATTTAAAAAAATTTTTTAGTTAAACAAGATTGTGGCAAATGCCCAGCTAAGACTACAGACACAGACTGTGTAGAATGTAACACAAAATATTGCAATAAAGAAAGTCTTGTTCCAAAACAATGTTTGGGTAACAATGGGACTATATGTAAAACATCGTTTGAAACTCCTTGTTTTGTGGAGAGAATGAAGAATAACACAGGCATTGACTAAACAAATTTCAAAAAATAAAATTATTTTTTTAAAGAAAACAAAGGATGTGGAAAGTGTAATTCTACATCGTGTAGAGAATGTCAGGATAATCGTTGTAATAATTTGACTGATACTTATTATTGTAAAGGTGTTGAAGGAATTAATGGAGTTAAAGAATGCCGTAAAAATGACTGTTACATTTTAATATTGAATAATAATAATAAAGGTAATATTAAATAAGTATATATTTCGGTGCCTATTAATTCATAATATAGGGGCTGATAATGTTGAAACAAATAGGCGAGGGATATTCTTACTTATGAAGGCGGAAAACTCAATCGAAAAGCTAATAAATATAAAAATTATAAATGTAAGTACTGTAAGAAAGAGGGAGATAAAGCAGGGAAGCATCTATAATGCTCAGAAGGTTCAAGGGGTTCAAGATTTATTTAAAAAGGTGGTTAGCTCATTGCTATGTTGAGCACCCTTATTTGGTGAGCAAAGGCGCTTGTAAAATCTTCCAGGAAGGCGCAGGATCGATGCCGCCCGGATTAAACTTTTCTCGCTCTTACTATAAAGCTTTTATTTTTCAGTCAAGAATCTTAATGAATTCTATTACGACTGTGGAAAGTGTCCAGTTAACAACGAATTCTTTAAAAATACATCTAATGTGTCCCTTTCCAAAAGATTGGTTGGAACAAATTTAAGTGGAATTCAATGTGCAGAATGCAATAATGGTCCTTTGTGTAATACTGAAAAGTTTTTGGAGAAACAAATGTTTTGTTTTGAGAAGTCGGAGAATGACACAAACATAATTAAAGGGGCAAGAGTTTGTCGAGATAAATGTTTTGTTTCGAGGAATTTTACGACTGGGAATGGTAGGCAATTAATTTAAATTTATTCTCATATACCTTGAGAACATCAACAACTCAATCTAGTGGATAAACCTCTATTTAAGGGACGTTTCCAATGTAGTTAGCCACTGGACGGAAAAAAGAAGCTGCCTAAATGATATCCCCAAGTTAAGGCTATATCCCAAGTTATATCCCCAAGTTATAAGATTTGACTGTTGATGACCCAGGTTGACAACTTATAGTGAGGTCTGACCTTTTGAGAATTAAATTATTATTTTTTCTTAGTAACACAAGGATGTGGAAAGTGTTTAAAGGACGAGAAAATTGACTGTATTGCATGTAAAGAGCGTTATTGTAACACTGGAGACAAGGTTGCCAAGCTTTGTTGGACAAATAAAAATGAAAAGTGTAAAACCAAAAATCCTTGCTATACATTGAGAACATCAACAAATGAGGGTTTTAATTCAATTTAACTTTAAAATTTAAAAAATTTTTTAAAGTTAAAAAAGGATGTGGAAAATGCCCTTTCCATACATGTGAAGAATGTAATGACCATCTTTGTAATAATCAAGATCCTTTCTATTGCCTTGGCTTTATGAATAGTTATAGGAATTGTAATAAATCTGACTGTTATATTGCTAAAATTGAAGAGAAGAATGGAGGTGTGTTTCTCTTTAAACTAGGGTAACACTCCATCTCACAAACATTGTCCGAGCTGAACCAGAAGGCCATACCGGCAAACCACTATCTCTAGAAACTCAAAAATTTTCGTTTCCTATGCTAAAAATGGATTTTGCCATTTTCTTGATTTTAAAAAACGAGGATTTCTGACTCTTGGCTTTTTCCCGACACTAAATATACTGTCACTCCAATCCCCCCGAAGGGTCGATTTCTACCCTAATATAAATTCCCAATATTATAGACGAGAAGATAAACCAATTCCACTATAATTGTGGAAAATGTCCATCAGGCATTCTCAACCTTTCTCCATACATCAAGACTAAAGGTCTAACACTCCAAAACAAAATAAAGAAAATAAATATGAGTAACGTTCAATGCGCCCAATGTAACAATAAACCAGTCTGTAATGCAGATACATTTTTTGAAAGTCAATTATTTTGTTGGGAAAAGGATTTTAATGAATGGACAGCAACGAAAGGAAAAAGATTTTGTAAACAAGGATTATGCTTTGTTGGGATTAATAAAGGAGAAAAGGGTAAATTAGAAACTTTTGGTATTCATCGGTTATTTGTGCCCATGTTGAAGCCAGACTATATTCTCGATCCGCGAATTTATAGTCCGCAGATCTAATATCCGAAAAATTTGGATCCTTAAGTTTCGAAACAGCAAAGCTTCAGGGCCGCAAAAACTTCAGGGCCGCAAGCGCGCCTTTTCTTCCAGTCAAATTTCCCTTTTTATTGCTATAAACAAAAAATCTGCCGTCGATAAAAGAGCGGTTTTTAAGTACAATAGAAAGGAAATTTTGTGGACATGAAGATTTTAGAAATGGGTACAGTATTACTGATACATACCAATTCTATTTTGTTAGTTCTCTAATTAACATTCCTAACTATGTTAAGTGCAAGGCTGTGGAAAATGTTCCGACCAAAAAAGTCTATCAAAATGCTTTAATTGTTCAAATCCACTTTGTAATGATGAAACAAAGCTACCTCAGATTAAATGTTACCAACTTACATCTAATCAGAGGCCAAATGATAGAAAAGCTAAGACATGCCATCCCTCCTATGACAGTTGCTACATTGCGAGGGACATCTTCTGGAGGAGTAGGAAATTTTTAATAAAACTTTCTTCTACATGATTTTTCGGACTTTCCCTAACTTTTTCAATTTGAAAATTTAATTTTAAGCTGAGCAAAACTGCGGTGAATGTCCCACAAAATACGAAAATTGTATAAAGTGTAACCACACTGATTTGTGTAATGAGGACTCTTTACTTCCCTTATCAACAACAACGGCTGGAGCAAAAACAATTAGTCTGGTATATTCCACAACCACCTCAGAATTGACTAAAAAGGAATCTACTAATTTTATCAAAGGCACAACACATCGTTTTTCTTCAAGATCTTCTGCACACATAAATAAGAACGAAAATAATATGTTAGCTTTGACTCTATTAACTTTGATTATTTATTATATTTTTTGATTAAATTTTTTAAAATAAAACTGATATTTTAAACTGGATATTAAATATGATAAGTGTTAAATATGCGGCTGTATTGTAGTGTAACAATTTATGGCATACCCGCATGCAAATGATGCATTTGAATGTTTTGACACTCCATACTAATAACGTAAAGTAAAAGGATTTAAGAGAATTTTCGCACGCCTCTAATTATTTATATCCCAAAAACAAATTAAATTTTAATTTTAAAAATAATGATCGTTACAGAATGACACAACAATTGCCCAATTCCAACGTATAAAAAGATAAAATGAAAAAGTCTCCTTAGTCTCCTTGACCTAACAAAATTCTAAAAATTTTCGCCTGCGCGTAGGTCTCAGATTAGTTGATTTTTGCGCAAATGCGCCGCAATGCGCCCATCCTTATATAAATGTAAAAGATATAAAGAAGTCCTATTGTCAACTGATCTAAAATTAAGCTATTTAGCATTCATTAGCTTGTAAAACATTTTCTATAAAAGTGAAAATTTAATTGAGTAGAAAAAACCCTGACACCGTGAAACATTTAATTAAGAACTGTAACATTAACTTCATCATATATTGTCAGACGATTGGATTTACGGGACTTTTATGCTGTGTTCTATAACTTAAGATTGACTGACCATTTTTTAATATTTTGAGGAAGGAAAAAGGAGTGGGGAACAAAATTGTATTTTACAAAATATCTTTATATCACGGAATCATAATTTTGTAGAAATGGTTTTTTAGTTTTCATAAAAGTTGTATAAATTTAATAAAAATCGTGCAAAAATCAAGCAAATTCTTTCAAAATTGTTTGAGCCTTTTATATTTTTTTCATAAAACATTACATAATTAAATATTTATATTTGCACTTTAATAGTCAAATGCTTTTAACGATAGAACTTCAATAGATCAGTTTGGCTCAATTGCTGGATACATGTATAGATTTCCCAATTATTTACTTTGAAAAAATATTTTATTAATTTTTATTAAAATCGTTTAAACCTCATTTAAATAACAGGTAAAAAGTTGAGAAAATATTTTAAAACTTGCCCAAACACTTAATTATAAAAATTTAGTAAATCGCTGAGCACATTCGGGAGCTATTATTTCTATATTAAAATTTCGCATTTCCAAAAAATCCAATCTTACTAATAATTAAAGAGACACATAAAACAAAACTTTCAATTAAATCCCTAAAGTCTTGGGACTTTTATTTCAATAATTATTCGCTAGTTTTCATCAAACTAAGGAACTTGAATTACTAGTAACTATATTTTCGATATTAGAATTCAGATGATTAAATTGATTATTGCTTCTTACTTATATTTACTTATTCTATTGAATATTAAATGTGATGGGAGTAAAGTTAGTATTGTAGTAAAAATCAAAGACGATCGGAAACAAAAAAGAGAATTTATTTATTTAAATAATGTTGAATTAGAAGAGCGTTTTGTATAAGAGAAGATTGAAAAACAAAATAATCAGTATGACAATAGCTATAATTTTAATATAGAGGGATTTTTGTGTCGAATTCAAATAAACATTGACATGAATATCACCATGATCTTCATGAAATAGAATTCTTTTAAGTTCCAAGCTGCTTTATGTATTACCTTAAAAAATCTAATAGAAACCCCACGCATTCTTTATTTAATCACTTTTAATGTGTATTTCTATTAAAGGTGATTATATTTAAAGTTTGTTTCAATTATTACATTAGAATTTTATGATATCTCTATAAATATTTTAGCGAATAACAAAAGATCGAGATTGTTTTATTTGCCGAGTTACAAAAACATCAAGTTGGTACCGTCATTCTGAACCGGAACAATATATATGTAAAGCTTGTTACAAAAAACAACAAAGAATAAAGAAGATAATAAATTATAACATAAAAATTAGAACCTACTATTTTGATAATTTCGATAAAATTATATAATTGTCCAAATAAAGAATGATTTTTCAATAGAAAGTGCATATTCACGGCATAATAATATCAATCTGTCCTATATTTAATAATTACCTATATATACTATTAGAAGGCCACGCAAATATTATAGAAGTCGATGTACTAATATTAGCCTACTTATTGAGGGGTAATTAAAAGCTAAGGCAAATTTTTAAAGCTAAGGCATTTTTTACGAATTACGATTACGAAAATTTTTTTTAAATTACGAATTATGATCCCGAAATTTTAAATAAAATTGTTAATTACGAATTACGATTACGAAATAATAATAAATATAAATTTACGAAAATAGAATGAAAACGGTTTATTTTTAGAGCATTTGCTATGAAAAAAATTTTTACAGTAAACCCCCGAACCCCGGCCATATTTTGCTCCCCCGACCCGAACCCCGCCTCGAAACAATAAGAAAGTCCCGTACCCGATTGGAAAACCCCGTTTGCTTAATAGTACGAAGCATGAGAGGATTGAATTAAAAAATATCTATCAAATATCTATCAAAAGTATATATCCTTTTCATGTTTTTTTCATGAAATTTCGTTCATTCTTCCTTTAATTTTCATACTTCATTCACCTTTTTCGCGATCGTCCAACAATTTTGTCACTGATTGTTTAAATAATTGTTGAGGGGTCATATGTGATTTATCCCATATACAATGTAAATATTCATACGCATTCTCCAAATTTGTTTTGTATATGCTAGATGTAAAATTAAAATAACAAATAAAATTTAAATAAAAGCTAAGTAATTAGAGGAGTTGACAAAATTATTGTCTTTGACATTTGGATATATTACTCACGTATCTCTGTCGGTGTACGGAATTTTCGTCTCTGGAACTTTCGTCTCCAAGACTTTTCGGAACTTTCGTCTCCAACATTTTCGGAATTTTCGTCTCCAGCGGAATATTCGTCTCCAAGGAAATAAACGGAATATTCGTCTCCGCAATTTTCGTCTCCGCTAGGAATTTTCGTTTATCCGTTGACGGAACAACATCCCCCGTTGACGGAACAACATCCCCCGTTGGCGGAACAACATCCCCCGTTGACGGAACAACATCCCCCGTTGGCGGAACAACCTCCCCCGTTGACGGAACAACCTCCCCCGTTGACGGAACAACCTCCCCCGTTAATGTTCTGTCAACAGGGGAAGCTGTTACGTCAACGGGTAAATTTTCCTCTGGAGACGAAAATTCCTAGCGGAGACGAAAATTGCGGAGATGAATATTCCGTTTATTTTCTTGGTGACGAATATTCCGCTGGAGACGAAAATTCCGAAATTTTTGGAGACGTAAGTTCCAGAGACGAAAATTCTGGCACCCATCTCTGTCTAATTATAAGTATTATTTTCTTTTACAATTAAGGAGACATTGGTTCCGGAAATGATATTACAATCCGTATTTTTATGTCTACAGTGTGTCCAGAATGTTATTGCACACATTTCATTTCATCATAATTTTTTTCATATTAAAGATGATGATATCAAATAAAGATTATATGATAGTCGGTTTCACTTGATTAATAGAAAGAAACTGCTCAGTAAATTTCGAAAATATGCTCATGTAACCTCTTTTATCTTTTTCCTAAAATAATTTGTCTAGTGTTATTTATCTACCTGTCATTTTTCAGCAATGTTAACAGCAAATCAGCAATAATTTCGCTAGTTATGCCTCCATTTGCAATATCGTTAAGGCTTAAATACGGGGCTAATTGCTCAAAATTGTCAATATCAATAACACATTCATCATTGTTACTAGTAGTATCCTTACCCTTGTAATTTTCAATTTTATATCTAGGTGGAATTTGTAAACCTTCAGAAATATAAAACTGATCATCTTTATAAGGAACACACAAAAATAGCGTGTTTGAAACAATTGCCTCAATTACTTGGTGACTACTGCAGTTCATGATTAATAGAGCTGTTGTGCCTTTGGCTGAAAATTTTTTCTATTAGTCTCGTGAGAAGGGTCGATGACAATTACGGTGAAGGAGAAAATTTTTTATTAGTGAAATTTTATTGAATCGAAATTTTGAGAATTTTAGAGTTCCAGAGGCCAGATTTCATTAAAAATTAAAGAAAAAGCCTCAAATTCTCAACTTTCGAGGATAGGGACGGGGTAAAACCATTCACTGACCTAATTCATTTTGCATATCATGAATCTGAATAAACTCTATATTATTTAAAATTCCTTGTCTTTCATGTGTGTAATTGTAGACAATATCTTCGTCTATATTACAATTATATTTAAATTTTAAATTAGAATTTTTAAGCTCTAATCCAACTTCATAAAAAGCATAAATAAATGCATCCAATATTTCAGTATTGTCGTTGCTAAATAATTCATTACAATCTTCAATGTTCATTATAACATTACTTCTTTGCTCTTTTGATTTCTATATTTTCAAAATTTAATCAGAATTTTAAAATATAAGAATTAAAATTCTAGGGTATATTAGGGGAAACTAGACAGAGAAAAACGATTTTCGTTTAGAATTTATCCATTAAATCGTTTTTATAACATACCAATTTTCTTTTTAATCTGTTCAAATGTATTCCCCCAACATAATAAACGTTTTCAGGCTTGTATTTACCAAGAGGAAAATCAATCAGTTCATGACTATTAATAAATATTCCTTTAATTTTCTTATAAAGACTTGATGTTCTAGCTCCAAAGAATTCATCCTAATAAAAATAAATATTATTGGGAATTTTTAAGAAGTAGAATTTCGACAAAAATTTATGGTGAGACAAATATATAAATATTCTGCGCAAATTAGGCACAAAATTCATTTAAAATGAACTTTGCTCAGACAGTAAAGATATGTATATTTAATTAAAATATAGGTAACCATTTCTTTGTGAACTGTTCTAAATAATTTTAGACTGTCGATATAATTTTTTAATTCTTGATGTTTTTTCCTCAGTGCCAAATGATGATCATCAAAGTTAGCAGAATATATCTCTTAATTTAAAATAATTAATTTTTAAGTAAGGCGATTGGTCACATATCCCTTCAGTTCCGTACTTCTGGTATTTGCATATCTATGGGTCCCGTCCATAAAGACCTAACTGTCCTCTAAGTGTTCATACAATAATCACTGCCTTTTAATATTAATAAATAATACCTGGGGCATTTTCTGGAAATTTTTTCCCAGCATATTTAAATTGATAAGAATTCAGATGTGTGTTGTTAATCCCAAAAATATTTTCAATTGATAAAACTAGTGAAATAAAAAGAGCTCCAGTCTCCCACGTATCAAAAAATGCAACGTTGAATTCAGCTTTATTCAAGCTTTCAATTAAAATAATGTATTCTGTATCTTCTAATAAAACTAAAAAATATGTATGAAAGAATGATTTAGAAAAGTTTATTTAATAATTTTTTGGTATTTTGGCTAGTGATGGGCAGAATTGAAATAACCGTAATTTTCTTGTTCAATCCTTAAAAGTCTCTCCCCACCGGAGGTCTTCGATTATGCTGCGGCTCAAATTATGGTGCGGCCCTCAAATTACACTCCAGAAGGCACAGTAAGTTGCAACTTTGCAATTTTATATATTAATTCAGTTTTGAATTAAAAATTTTTTCCGATTTCCGGCGTTATCTCCTTCCGATTTCCAAAAAAAATTTTATTTCCGAGTTCCGTCTTATGAGCAAGTTCCGATTTCAGGCTCTTCCGATTTCGACACCTTTGACTGTTCTGACCCACCTCTGCTCCCCACAAGTTCTTAAATGTATGTACGCATTTTACAAATTGATGTGAAATAATTTTCAAAAAATAAAATAATTAATATTAAATTTTAAATTACATTTAAAAGGTGTAAATGCCTCATTTTCAATTGTTTTGTAATTATCTTTGTATTCCCTATGATGAAATTTGTTTTGTGATACACTTAATGCAGAATTTTCATCAAATTTACCCGAAATTTTAACTATTCTATATGTATTTGGTAAAGAGTTTTTAATTGGTATTTTTTCATCATATTGAATAAATGCTTTATCAATTCCTTCTTTAATTTGACCTTCATTCTCATTTGTGGTGTTTAAAATTAAAAAGTGCTTAAAATAAAACTTAAGATTTTCCCGGAAATAAAGACAAATATAATGTATATTTACCAATACTATTATATACGATGTTCATGCATGCTGGGAAAGAATTCATTGGATGGGAGATGGAATAGAACCATCATGGGGAGGGCCCAAACCGAAGCACAATCGACTATGCCACCATCCAGCATTATGTTGCATTATTTATTTTCATTTATATTCTTTCTGCAAGTGTTGACACAACAAATACCAAAATCGAGTAGTTTACAAATAAAATCTTTATTCTATTTTCTATTGATTATTTTATAGTCCCCGGCTAGGGTTACCGTATTTATGAACACATTCAGACACATATTTTTACACGAAGAATGTCAAGATAAATTGTAACGTAATTTTAGTTTATGAATTTTTCCATAATTTATTCCCAAATTTCTTTTATTAAACTCTTAAACATACCACATTGAAGATGTCACTCAAGACATAGGCAAAAGCACTATTCATTTTAAAATACATTGAATCACGATTAGTAGTTATTACCAACGCGCGTTTCTTAACTTCCAAATCCTCTGCTTCTAATATATTGAAGCGTTTCTTCAATGAATTGTTTCTACGCATGGTTTTACGCGAGCTTTCTCCATGCATCATAGAAGATGCTAATGATACAATTCCCAGAAGGAATGTAATTGAGCGAAGGAGCATTTTCCTTCTGAAACAAAAATTTTAGAAATGTTTTTTTAAAAAGCGTTGTTTTTCTCTTGTCTTATGATAAACTATTCGAAATTAAATATTGCATATAAATCTATGTTATTGCTAAGCATGCACCCTATCGAACTGGCTAACAACAATTAAAAAAAGTATATTATATTTAGTTTGGCCTGGAAAGTCCGAATCTTTTTCTGAGATTCAACTGTTTATAGATAGATTTATAATTCAAAATATTAAAACATTATTCTAACCTCGTTATTGACGATGTTGAATAATTAAATTAAATATATAAATTAAATTAAATGTTTATAAATTAAAATTGAGTGAAATTGAAAGGAGTCTATTGGGGATTTTCAAAAATAAAAATTAAAAGCCCTTCCCTTCTATATTTTTTTTTATTAAATTTTGTCTGCAACTTTCCCTCTATACACTTTATAAAATTATTTTTCTCTATCATCTACACTCATTATCCTTTCTACCCTTCATATAGCCATATAAAAATCGACACGGCATTGAAAATCAATACACGGAAAAAATTTTTTCACTGTAAAAAAATTTATTGAAAAATGGTATTGGACAAATTGCCAATGAAAACTCATTCGGCACTTATTTGGCTAGAGGACTTTCCATTCAATTCGCCGAGCTCTTTCATACATAAGACATTTAATGCTGTTAGTCCGTCTTTTGGAAAATCCTTTCAAACAAATTAGAAAAATTTCAGACTGAATCAGGACTGTGTGAATAACCAAGAAAGCCTGACAGCTACATCAAATCGGAAACCAAATATAAGATTTTTAGGATTCATTATGATATTTAGGACTTTCAAAAATATGGATGAACATTTAGATATGTAAGTGTAATTTCCTATTGTTTTTTCTGTCACATAAGAGAGTTGGTTAAATTATTTTGGCTCGTTACCTTGATAGGCAAGTTTTGTGAAAATACTTTAGAGAAATTAAAAGCCATTATTTATTGCATTCATACTTAGTAAGGAATATGGGTAATGTTGAAAAGCAGCAAAATTTTTTTATCAAAAGTGGAAGACCATGACAAAACAGAATTATCAGAAAGTTATCTGTAAGATTAGTAACAATTATTTTGTTTAAATTATTTTTGTTTAATTTTTGTTTAAATTCACAAAAGTTCGTATAATTGTTATTAAGTAATTATTACGATAGAACGTTTATAAATATGTAATAGAGCAGAATTTTCATAAATTTGGGTATTTTTTTATTTTATTCTCCTCAGTATAAAAATTTAAGGGGCAAATTAATTTATATTAATTTGCCCAACTGCCCAACTCTAATACTTAGTCTTCATTTTACTCAAGAAATTTTTTAATATTTTGAAGAATAAAAAATTAAAAAAATATTTTGAAAAATAAAAAAATTTTTTTAAAAACATATCCCAATTATTAAAATAAATAGTGTGATCTTTTAAAACAAAGACACGTGTTTGTTTATTGTAGAGGCCATGAATAAAAAAATATTTTTTTTTAATTTTGAACTGAACTAATCTTATCGATAGTGCATTTTTCAAAAAAATTCAAAAATTCAAAAAGCTATCAATTGAAATGATATCCCTCACATGAAAAAAAACCTTTTTTAATATTTTTGTGTTTATTTATAGCCGATAATTTTCTCAATTTTATCCATTTTGAATTTAAATAAAATTATTCTATTAAGTTTTTTAAGTTTTTTTTAAGTTCAGTTTTAAGTTTGATTTTAAACTATTCAAGTTTTTAAAGCAATCAGTTTTAAATATATGTTACTAAGAAGGATAGTTGCTGGGTTGTGATTGATCAGGGAGGGAAAAATTTAAACAACTACTCAAGATTGTTAGAAAATTAAATTCAGAAAATTAAATTTTAATTCGGAATTTCCTTCCATTTCAATTACGAGAAGCGTTACCTATTTTGATAATTTGTCATGTTTTGAATTCCATGTTTATTGAGATCTTTAGCACATGTTAGGATTTCCATCCGATTAATAATATTAATATTTTTAAACATCGGGCCTCAAATGTCGGTCCAAAATCCTCGAATAACGGTTTTGAAAGTACGTCCTCAAATATCGGTTTTTGATCATTCTCATTAAAGTTAATCAGATCATATCCGGCATTTAATGATTTTCTTTATAGCGATAAATCGTAACGATTGTAATGTAATCACAGATGTTTGTGATGAGCGGATTAATACGGAAAAAAATAATACGATAGGCCCAAAATATTGTAACATACATATTAAAATACTTTTTAATATTTTAATTAAAACTTTATATTCTCTAACCCTTTTTAAAAATTTGAAAATTCAATAATCAATTTTCTATTCACTATAACTTCGCACGTTTTAAAAATTCCTTTACACAGTTAGAGAAATAAAAATAAGCAGAGATGAGGAGAAAATCCTGGCATTTAACGACATTCAATATAATGGCTAGCGAATTATTTAATAAATAGCTAGCTATAATTTTAATTATTTATTAAAAATTTTAATTCAAATATAAAAACTTTTGTAATTCATTAAATTGTTAACTTGCAAAGCTTTAAAAATTTTTAGAAATTTACACTAATATAAACAGGCCACCCTTAAATATAAATTTGCAGTTGCTCAACCAACTGTTCTAACGGAGTGAAAATTTATCTTTTTTAGAAGTATAAATCGTTTAACTCTCGCCCGAGTGTTTTATTAAATTTATATTAATTTGGAATATTAATTCAAAATATTATCTTTTTATCTCTCTAAACCATCAATATCCCTCAATCTTTCTTATACCCGCGAATCTCTCTATCCCTCATTAGTTACTTATTTCAAATCACCCTTGATCAATTCATAACTCCTTTATCGGAGGATATCATGGGTATGTCTCCTTATATACAACAAATTCAATCATATCCCTTGCGATAATTTCAGCCTTAAAATATGTCCACTGCCATTCACATCGAGTCCTTATTTTGTTACTTAACACAACAGGTCCACTGCGCACTAACTCTCGTAGGGCAATCTCTCGTAGGGTGCGCTTATATTAGAGACTGCTTCAATTAGATACCGTACTTCTACTTATACACTGCTCCACATAACTATAACCTCACCCTAAATTTTCAAATTTCTTAACTTCTACCGAATCAATCGGGCTGATTTTTATTTTATATTAATTAAAGCAGGTAACATTTCATATAAACCCGAGAACTCGAAAAAATCTTTGGTCAAAAATATTTTATTCAATTTTTTCAAAAAACACCCTCCACATAACTATAACCTCACCTTCAGAAAACATATTAGGAATGCTCGAAAAATTCTACAAAAATTTAATTAATTGCTTTAATTAATATAAAATAAAAATCAGCCCGATTGTTTCGGTAGAAGTTAAGAAATTTGAAAATTTAGTGTGAGGTTATAGTTATGTGGAGCAGTGTATTAGAGCATTTACGGTATGTGTAATAATTATAGAGTGAAAAATTAAGGTATGTTTATTCCGAAGCGAATTATTTGCATTTGAATAAAATAAAATGATTAAATTCAAATAATTCTCAAGACAATGTCTGTAATAGTAATTTCGAATAATTATGTATATGAAGGGATTCATTGGGATTATCTTTGATTTTGAGGTATTAAAAAATTTGAGTAATTAACAGGAATATTAATAATTGAAGAATAGAAGGGATTTTGTTAGATACAAGGATTAATGAAGATATTTTTGGATTAAGTGGATTTATTGGAGATATCAAAGGATTTGGGAATATTTTTCTCACTAAACTAACAAAATTTTGCAGCACTAAAGTCAATCACTTTAGTGATGTCAATCAAAAAATATTTTTAAGTTTTGTGGTAATGCAAAAAGGGAATTGGTTATAAAAAATAACTTTACTAGAAAATATCGAATTTCAAGATCGAAGTTTCGATTCATTAAAGCGAATATTCGATTCAACATATAATATAGTCAAGAATAGTCAAGCGATAGTCACTTGCCTATATAGCCAAGAATAGTCAAGTGATAGTCTCTTTACTTGATAGTCTCTTTACTTATAGCCAAGAATAGTCAAGCGATAGTCTCTTTACTATATAGCCAAGAATAGTCAAGCGATAGTCACTTGCCTATATAGCCAAGAATAGTCAAGTGATAGTCTCTTTACTTGATAGTCTCTTTACTTATAGCCAAGAATTGTCAAGTCTCTTTACTATAGAGCCAAGAATAGTCAAGCAATAGTCAAGCTATAGTCTATCCTATACACTAGTCATGATTTTGCGCCTTGTTTAGAATAATAAAACTTAAAAAAAATTCTTGGCTCCGACTCCGGGCTTTTAACATCTTGGCTCTGGCACAAGTGCCGGCGATTTTCGGAGCGGTCCATGTTGGCTCAGGCCTCCGTTGGTAAATCAATAAATTATTTTTCATTGGGAGATTTGGGTAGATTATGGGGGATATCGAGTGATATCAACCGCAGGCAAAAATTTTGAACCGCAGGCAAAAATTTTGAAAATTTAGAAGATCCTTAAGCAAGAAATCATCCTTATTTCATCCCAGAAAATCACAAAGAAAACCATTATTTAGTCACATCAAAACTACGAACCCAACACAAAATCCGGTTTCATCCTTTTGTAAGAAAGCGAAAAAAACTTATTTTACCTGTCTCAATTTTCTCTTCCTTTTCTTCCTACGCCTCTCATCTTTTACTCACTTCTTTATCTTTGACGCATCCTTAGAAGGTGTAAATGAAAAACCTTGGCTCCTGCTCCGGGCATTTCAAAATTTTGGCTCAGGCTCCAGTTTTGCTCCGTAACTAGCTCTCGGAGCACTAATTACAAGTAATTGGAAAAATTATTAAAATTAAATTCGGTTATACTTTTGAAACGGTGTCTACTTTGAGTGTGTATTTTTTTAATATTTATTTTTTAGATATCATTTTAATCAGATTTTCCTTTTTTGTTTTCCATAAATTAGACAATGATCGACAGGGGAAAAAATTATTTCAAACAAACTAATCGTCTACTTTTTATTTTAATTATTCTTTTTTCTGTTTTTGAAAAAATTGATGTTTTTAATTTCAACATTTTTCAACCATATCAAAATTACATTATATTTGTTCCACATCAACCTTTGATTAATCCTGGAATCATAAGTACTTATTTAAATTTATTAATTTTACTGTCGGTCCTAACTTATGAGTTTCGGTCCTCGCCCATTAAATAACTATCCCACTGATAATTATTTAATGGATATCCTAAGTTAGGATTTTTAATTAGGAGTAACTTAAATTGGACCATCTGACCTCATATTTTTTAATTAATTTTTACATTTTTTTAATTTTTACATTTAAAGCCCGTTTTAATGAATTGAAAAAAATTGCTTTTTCTGGCGGTAGCACACAATCTAACGATGTTTTAATCTACGAGGAATTTGTATTTATGGAGCATTTTGACGAAACAAATAACAATTTATCTTGGCATTCATTAGGAGAGAGAGTCATAGAAGAATACAAAATTATGAAAAAAATATACAAAAATGCCATTGATAAATTAACAGAAAGAGTTGAAACGTTTGTTGAAGAAGAAATAAATTCTCATTACTCGGATGTGGATGTTACTGATTTTAAAGAAGATATTGAAAAATATGACCAGTTAATTGCTACAGGAAAATTTTCACAAAAAATTTTGGAAACAGGTGAAGATTTGGTGGAATATTTTATTAAGTTTAAGTAACAGCCCTAATAATTTAATCAAATGCATAAATAGACGAAATAAAGAATGATGCAGAAAATTATCACTTTCGGTTTTCGTCTTTAGCCTATTTCAGTTTTGTTGATGCAAAAAGAGTTTGCAAAAGTTTAGCCACCGGGCAGGATTCGAACACCTGCTAGTTGTTGCTATGCACTTTCGCTCACTATATGCAGGAGCTCTACCATTGAGCTACCGGGGCATCGACTATTGCTTTCTTTTTTAGATCGTTTAATCCGCGCCGCGTTTTAAATGCTGCTAGCTGAATCATTCTTACAGTATCTAAAAACAGAAATCATGCCAAATTTTGTACACGGGAAAGTTGTTCCACAAGCGGGGGAAGTTGTAAACGACAGAAATTTGTTCCGTTAACGGGGGAAGTTGACCAACTTAAGATAACCTTGTTCCAATAACGTGGGAAGAAGTCCTACAGCGGGAGATGTTGTTCCGCCAACGGGGGCATTCTTGCAACAACGGAGGTTGTTTTTTCAACAAAGGAGGTTGTTTTCCAACGACAAGGGTCATTGTTCTAACAATTGAGAATGGTGTTCCGAAGCGAAAAAGATTGTTCAACACTGGGATAACCTTTCCCGTTGACGCAACAACATCCACCTGTCTTTATCCCTTTAATGAAACAAGGTTATCATTAGTTAGAACAATTTTCGTTTTGACGGAACATATTTCTGCCGTCGACGGAATAACTTCCCCATTTTACAAAATTTGTGACTCAAATGGCAATCGTCAAATGTCGATCCTCAAAAGTCGGTCCACAAATATCGGTCCTCATTCCTCAAATTAGATCCTCAAATTTCGGTCCTCTAATGTCGGTCCGCAATCCATAAATGTCAATCCTCAAATGTCAATCTGCAATGACCATCCCCAAGATTCGGACTACGAATTTATGCTTAGTAAATTAAAAATTTTTAGCGGAAAAACGGAAATTGAAAAATTTTTTTCGAAAAACAACCACAAGTTCAAGGACTAATGCATATGACGAAAACTATTACAAGACTAAAATAAATTTAGTAATCAAATGTAAGGTATTCATTAGTGATTTAAACTCTGAAGGTTCAGAAGGCTCTTTTATTGATATATTCTCTTTTATGGAAAAACATTCGAAATTAAAGGATTTGAAATTGATATTTGATTTATCATCTATTCATAGCATTGAGCTAGATAAGGCGATTGTTGAGAAATTTTATGAAGATCATAAAGAAAATAAAAAAAAGGCGAGAGGATATAACTATGCCGTTGTGGAGGGTGCTGGTCCAATTGGATTATACACTACTTTTAAACTTTTTATTGGTAAATAAATAATTTTTAATTAATTTTCTCGGCGAATGTTTTTTCTAGAGGATATAACTTTGCCGTTGTGGAATATTTTTTCTAACGCCAAAAATTCAAAGAATCTAAAGGAATCTAAAGAAAAATCCGCATTCTCTATGCGGACATTTAGGGAGTCAACTGGAAATTTACCTATTTTCTCTATAAAAATCCTATTTTATCTATAGAAATTTTTGATTAACAGAGACCTGAGTCTAACCCAATATTTAACTCAGAGACGAATTTCATATCATTAGAATGTTCAATCATTAAAATTAATTATAAAATTTAGAAGGAATAAATGTTTCTCTTTTAAATGATCGTTCTGCGGAGTATACACGCGAACAATTTATCCTTCTTGATCGCAAATGGATATATCAATTAAATTTAATTTTGGGTACCCAATTTGAGCAACTCTTTAACGAAGAAAATTCTATGGCAAAATTGCTTCCTAACCATGTCGGGATAGTTATTATGAAAAATTTTGAATTTGCTCTAATGAACCGTCTGAAGGACCTAGCTATATATGTTGAAGAAAGAGAGGAAAATCAAGAAGGAGAAAAGTCTTTCGTAAAATTAATATACGAGATAGAAGTTTTGAATATAAATTTGCGTCATGAAAAACCTTTAGCAGTTATTGGTATTCCTATGTGGCATGCCAAGGCAAATAAAGTAAAACATAACAGAAAAATAGAGAATATAATGATACATTACAATATAAACCGTGACGAAGCACGTAAAAAAATTAATGCTAAAGAGCTTGCTAAACTTGAGATTAATGGAAATGCATTTGGAAATGAAAATATCAATAGACCTCCATTGAATATGTATTCTGGAAGTAATTTTTTAGGGATTCCTTTTGATTTGCTTTTTTGTGCTGGTGGAGCAAATGACCGAATGAGAGATAAATTTTTAGGTAAAGAATTTCTAAAATTTTGTTTAATAACGTTGCTAATCTTTCTAAAATTTGTATGCCTTTGTCGCCTCTATAATTTTTAATATTTGATCCCAATTAGATCTATCAGAAATGGTAGTTTTCAGTAGAGTACGTCCGAATTGAGAGAGTTCGAGTTTACTCAACTCGATCGCTCGGGTTTTTTCGCCTTACTCGGACTCGGAACTCGAGATCCTAATACTCGGCATTGCTCGTACTCGAAAACTTCTTAGTCCACGGACTTGGTTAAAACCGAGTATTTTTATACTCCTATCTGCGGCGCAAAATAGAAGAATTTTAGCTTAAGAATCTTCCAAAATTCTCATAATTTTGTCTGCGGATAAAAGAAGAAATTTTGCTCCCAGCCTTCCAAAATTTCTCAAAATTTTCTCCTGCGGCGCTGAAAGGGAAAACATGTGTATATCGGAAGATTTGAATGAAATTAGGTGGATTTTAGTTATATCCGGATATTTCAAGGGGTCTAAGAATATAACGAGAGATTTGGCCTTGCGAAACTTTGGTGTTCCTACTTGGCCTTCAGAAATTCTCAAAATTAAAGCAACGGCGCAAAAAGCGAAGGATAGAAGAGACGGATCTTATTATCACTTTTATACGATATAACTAATCCGACGATATCCCAATTAATCTTCCGAATTTCGCAGATTTTGCTCCTAATAGCCCAAATCCCACGATAATCAGCCCAAATCCCGCTTAATCCCTTGATATCCATTTCCTCTGTTATCACTCGTAAAAAATAAATCCCCCATAACGATATCATGCTACGGTTACATAAAAAACGCAAGACGCCGGCGGAAGACGCTCGGCGTCAAGACGCCGGCGGAAGACGCTGTTTCGTGGTTACATAAAATCGGCGTCTTCCGCTAAGCGAGAAGACGCAAAGCGTCAAAACGCTGATTTTATGTAACCACAAAACAGCGTCTTCCGCCGGCGTCTTGACGCCGAGCGTCTTCCGCAAGACGCGCGCGATTTTATGTAACCACTAAATCCGATTAAAAATTTTTTTAAATATTTATCATACTAAAATAAAATTTATAAAATCAAATCATTTTATTCTGCCATGGTACCGATCAGGGGTGGCGCTCAGTGATGTCAAAGTTCCAAAATTTCTCTGGAACTAGTTCCAGTTCCGGAACTAAGTTTTTAATTTTAGTAGTTCCAGTTCCAGTTCCGGAACCAGGTTTTTAATTTTTGTAGTTCCAGTTCCAGTTCCGGAACTCAATTTTTGAAATTCCTTAGTTCCAGTTCCAGTTCTGGAACTAGTTCCAAGCTAGTTCTAGTTCCAAATTTTTAAATTTTTTTGAATATGAAAAGATTTATCAATTTTAACAAATAAAGACATAATTTAAAAAATCATTTAGTGTGCGGCAAAATCGCATTCACGGGATCCCGTAACGGGATTTTCTTCAAAATTTTTACGGACGGGATCCCGCGGGATTAATCCCTTAATCCCGATAATCCGGTTCGAATAATCCGGTGAAGGAGAATATAATTCTGTAGGATCTGAATATGCATCATCAGAAGACGTAATAGATATCGGGGAGAAAAAATTTCCGAAAATAAAAAAAAAATTTCCGAAAATAAAACCCACCCTGAAATAGAGCCTCACCTTGAAGGGTAGGTATACCGCCCGATACTGGTCGGAATCCCGATACCGCCAACTCTACTATTTTCGGAAATACATTCACTTTTTCAGCGCCGCAGGCGGAAATTTTGAGAATTTCTAAGGTCGTCCCGTAGACTTCGTCGAGTAAATTTTGTCAAAAATATACCCCCAAGAACCTCCTTTAAATAAGCCCCCCTCCTAAAATAAGCCCCCTCCCCCATAAAATTTTTAATTGTTGATTAATTGGTGTGTCCCCCAAGGTGAGTCTCCATGGAGCGATATAGAAGAATTAGAAGTGATTAAGGGTGTATTTGGAAGATTAACAGATATACATATAAAGGGATCAACGTACATAGATATCGAGGGATTTGAGGTGATTAATAACGATATCGGAAAATTTGTAGGTTTAATGGAATATATTTGGATAGTAAAGATTAAGGGAGATTAGGAAGGATCTCTGGGGATTAAGAGGGATTTCAGTAGATTAAGAGATTTCGGTGAATTAATTTTCACGATCAGAATTACATATAAATTAATTAATTATTTTGTTTCCAAAAATAATTTGATAAATTTTTTGGAAGAAAATTTTTCCCAAAAAAAATTTTTGACAAAAATTTTATAAAAAAATTTTATATTTTACCAAAAAAATTTTTTTAGCCGACAATTTTCTTAAAAAATTCCCAAAAATTCGCAAATTTTAGTAAAAATATGCAAAATAGGCAAAATAGGCTGCAAAAAGTATACCTTTTTCAAAATTAATTTTAACCTATAAAAAGTCAGTTTAAAAATATAAAATTTATATTGATCGATAGAAAATGAATTGAATTTTCAGAATCTTATTAAATTTTGAAAATCGCATTATGCTACGGTTACATAAAAAACGCAAGACGCCGGCGGAAGACGCTCGGCGTCAAGACGCCGGCGGAAGACGCTGTTTCGTGGTTACATAAAATCGGCGTCTTCCGCTAAGCGAGAAGACGCAAAGCGTCAAAACGCTGATTTTATGTAACCACAAAACAGCGTCTTCCGCCGGCGTCTTGACGCCGAGCGTCTTCCGCAAGACGCGCGCGATTTTATGTAACCACTAAATCCGATTAAAAATTTTTTTAAATATTTATCATACTAAAATAAAATTTATAAAATCAAATCATTTTATTCTGCCATGGTACCGATCAGGGGTGGCGCTCAGTGATGTCAAAGTTCCAAAATTTCTCTGGAACTAGTTCCAGTTCCGGAACTAAGTTTTTAATTTTAGTAGTTCCAGTTCCAGTTCCGGAACCAGGTTTTTAATTTTTGTAGTTCCAGTTCCAGTTCCGGAACTCAATTTTTGAAATTCCTTAGTTCCAGTTCCAGTTCTGGAACTAGTTCCAAGCTAGTTCTAGTTCCAAATTTTTAAATTTTTTTGAATATGAAAAGATTTATCAATTTTAACAAATAAAGACATAATTTAAAAAATCATTTAGTGTGCGGCAAAATCGCATTCACGGGATCCCGTAACGGGATTTTCTTCAAAATTTTTACGGACGGGATCCCGCGGGATTAATCCCTTAATCCCGATAATCCGGTTCGAATAATCCGGTGAAGGAGAATATAATTCTGTAGGATCTGAATATGCATCATCAGAAGACGTAATAGATATCGGGGAGAAAAAATTTCCGAAAATAAAAAAAAAATTTCCGAAAATAAAACCCACCCTGAAATAGAGCCTCACCTTGAAGGGTAGGTATACCGCCCGATACTGGTCGGAATCCCGATACCGCCAACTCTACTATTTTCGGAAATACATTCACTTTTTCAGCGCCGCAGGCGGAAATTTTGAGAATTTCTAAGGTCGTCCCGTAGACTTCGTCGAGTAAATTTTGTCAAAAATATACCCCCAAGAACCTCCTTTAAATAAGCCCCCCTCCTAAAATAAGCCCCCTCCCCCATAAAATTTTTAATTGTTGATTAATTGGTGTGTCCCCCAAGGTGAGTCTCCATGGAGCGATATAGAAGAATTAGAAGTGATTAAGGGTGTATTTGGAAGATTAACAGATATACATATAAAGGGATCAACGTACATAGATATCGAGGGATTTGAGGTGATTAATAACGATATCGGAAAATTTGTAGGTTTAATGGAATATATTTGGATAGTAAAGATTAAGGGAGATTAGGAAGGATCTCTGGGGATTAAGAGGGATTTCAGTAGATTAAGAGATTTCGGTGAATTAATTTTCACGATCAGAATTACATATAAATTAATTAATTATTTTGTTTCCAAAAATAATTTGATAAATTTTTTGGAAGAAAATTTTTCCCAAAAAAAATTTTTGACAAAAATTTTATAAAAAAATTTTATATTTTACCAAAAAAATTTTTTAGCCGACAATTTTCTTAAAAAATTCCCAAAAATTCGCAAATTTTAGTAAAAATATGCAAAATAGGCAAAATAGGCTGCAAAAAGTATACCTTTTTCAAAATTAATTTTAACCTATAAAAAGTCAGTTTAAAAATATAAAATTTATATTGATCGATAGAAAATGAATTGAATTTTCAGAATCTTATTAAATTTTGAAAATCGCATTAGAATTGGCCGAGAAATGATCAAGACGCTAAAAGTTGCCGCAAAAAATTCAAACATGTTTGAATTAAAAAAAGAGACGCCGGCGTCAAGACGCCGGCGGAAGACGCATTTTATGTAACCACTCAAAAAAGCGGCAAGACGCTCGGCGTCAAGACGCCGGCGGAAGACGCGGGTTATGTAACCACTCAAAAAAAGCGGCAAGACGCCGGCGTCTTGACGCCGGCGGAAGACGCAGTTTATGTAACCACTCAAAAAAAGCCGCAAGACGCCGGCGTCTTTTACTCTCTTCATTTCCCATTATCTTTTCTGCCGCAAGACGCGCGCGTTTTTTATGTAACCGTAGCATTAGAATTGGCCGAGAAATGATCAAGACGCTAAAAGTTGCCGCAAAAAATTCAAACATGTTTGAATTAAAAAAAGAGACGCCGGCGTCAAGACGCCGGCGGAAGACGCATTTTATGTAACCACTCAAAAAAGCGGCAAGACGCTCGGCGTCAAGACGCCGGCGGAAGACGCGGGTTATGTAACCACTCAAAAAAAGCGGCAAGACGCCGGCGTCTTGACGCCGGCGGAAGACGCAGTTTATGTAACCACTCAAAAAAAGCCGCAAGACGCCGGCGTCTTTTACTCTCTTCATTTCCCATTATCTTTTCTGCCGCAAGACGCGCGCGTTTTTTATGTAACCGTAGCATCATCCATCGATTTTCCACATGGAGCCAGCGGCCAACATTAATCATGGGCGTATCATGAATTTCGGCGGATTAAGAGGGATATAGACGGATTAAGAAAATCAATGTGATTTGGATGATGATGCACTGCATCACTGTCAACAAATGCCCAATACCCAGCACTAATTTTAATAATTTTCAGTAAAA